TGTGAACACACCTTGGATGATACCCATAGGCTTATATATGCCGAGGGCGTACGTGGAATTGGGGTTACCATCCCGTATCGTCGTATTTTGTTTTCTTTATATTCCCCATTCTCTAAATCCCTTGCTATATCCCGTTTTCAAAGTGGTTGTTGTATTCTATTGATATGCATCGAAGTGAACCATTGGGTGGAGTTTTCTCCAGAACCTCTTGGTTACTGAGATATATTCGTATATCTCACCCCGTCTCGGGGCATTTATTTCAGGAGGTAGCAGTGGAGCAGGAGCCTCGGGCAAGAGGCCCGCAGAGTGAGCGCTGGAGCGCTTCATATTTTGCATTTTGTTGGCCGTGTGGCCTAGGCTAGACTTAGGGCATGAACATGTCATTTGTATTTATTAGTAGCTTCATTAGCATCTTGTTCATGCCATTTTGCCTAAGTCTAGTAGTGATGTATTTGGTTATGTTGTCTTTTAAATTAAGTTGAAATTTTAGAAGAATGTAATTTGAAGTTTTAGTTTCAAGTTGTAATTTGTAAAGCCATATTGTAATAGTATTGATGCATGTCTAATTATGATGGAAGGGCCTTAGGCCTATTTTAGGTTATGATAATATGTATGATGGAAATATGCATGAAAAAGGTGTTAGTGATTGCAACTACTTAAGAATGATTAATATGGACTCTATGTTTAATAACTATAAACTGGATTGGGTTGTAAGTGCCCCAAGGCGTTGTTGGTCCTTGTGTGTGCCACCCATTGGATTATTACTGTATTATCATGTGTTTATTAGGTACATTTGAGGTTTAAATGATCTTTTACAAATTTGGGATTATTGGAAAAACAAAGGAAACTCTGGCGAATTTTCTGTAGAATTGGCAGATTTTAGGCAAACTTCGGGAGAGTATATCTCCCTCCATAGAAGTCCCCTAGGGACGTGCCATACGCCATTTTGAAGGTTGAGATGTCCTCTACCTTGTGTCAAAATTTGAGGAAATTCTGGGTTGATCTTCGGCCTGAAAAAAATAGAGAAACACGGACTGCCCATGTGCCCCTGCACCTGAGGCAGATTCTGGACCGGATTTGGGAAATTAATTCCCGCTTCGTTTCTCCGCCAAATTAAGCGTGTGATATATCAAAATGAAGTTTTAGATGTCTAGTTTGTAGGATAAAAATTTGAGAGCAAATGGTTGAGTGGATTGAGTGCAGTAATTCGAGAAATGTGAGTGGTTTGGAGCTGTTTTTGGGGTTGTTTGGGCTAATTGCTTATCCAACTTCAAACGGCGATAACCGGAGCAAATGAGCTCCGAATTGAGCGTATGATAGCTTGTTAAAAGGGAATTAAGTAATACAAAAATATAATCTGAGAAGAAGGGTTGGTTGCGATCGGTTTGGTCGCAGAAAAATTTAGAGTGAAACATGTTCGAATTGGTAAAAATGTAAAGTTGGAAAGAGGCTAAGTGAGTTTATGGGAACTCCTTAGTAACTCATAATAAATTATGTAAGTTATAAAAATAGTTGAAATAAGTCTTCCGCAAGAGTTTACGGTTATGGTCACAGCTTTTAATTATTACGCTTTTTATGATTTAAATGCTCGCGTAATAGTCGGAAAAAATTTATTCTCGTTTTTTTAAATGAACTGCTGTGATTGTAACTGCGCTTAATATCATAATTAATGTTAACAATAACAAGAACAAGGACAACCCTACTTTCAAGAATAAAAAATGACATTGTTAAATATAATTAAAGAAAAGTGTCTACGCATAGGTGAAAAAGGGAGAGACATAAATGGACGTGGAGTAGGAGACTTCTACACAATTGGTGAGACAGAGACATGTTGTGTTAAGGTATAATGTTATATTTTAAATTAGTTTTCTTCTTCGTATTTAATATTTGTAATTTCTCAAAAAATTTAATATCTTTAAGGAATAACATATATTGTCAATAATTGTATTAAATGTAGATGTGCGTCTAGATGCACTCCACTTTTTGTTTTGTTAGTGAGTAGGTTAGAGGATCAGTTAGAATTTTAATATATTAGAATATCTATCATTTACTTTGTCTATGCTCTCTTTCATTTATTAGGAAAGAATATTGCCTGGAGGACACGTATTCTATTATTTTTGGTATGTTGAAAGGGAAGATTTTTCAAAGGTAAGCACGTCTAACTTTTATCTATTTCATGTGTTTTGGAGTGTGTTGAACTGATTGGTATCATAATTTTTTGTTACAAAGTAAGATTTCCCTTCACATCCCTCATCGCCTTTGTGTATGGTAAGGCCTGTTACAAAAATGGTGTAAATTTTTCGTATTGTATCATTTTTATGGGAATATCTCACGCATGACGCCAAGGAAGGAGAGTTATTATTGAATGATGGATTTAGAATATAATTCGTTGTTGCATGATGACAAAGAAATGGAAATATCTTATGCATGACGACATGTAAAGGGAAATATCTTACACATGATTTCTGTGTAACCCTTTATCCTATGGTCTGAGAAGTTATGTTATTTATATGTAACCCTTCATCCCATGGCTTATTTTCATTATTTCTAATAATTTTCACAAGCATAAGATTGTAATTTCACTATATAGGAGAATCTACACTCAAGGTACACGTGAAGACGCATATGTTGTTACAACAAACGAGGCATATGTTTTCCTTGTTATTAATTTAAATAATTGCAGTGAAAAATAAAATTATGGTGGTTTTGACTGTAATGTTACATTTTTCAGGAATATAACGCTATGAAGTTTCAAATATGTACACTTCCGGGAATGTATTTCATTTGATTAAATAATTGTGCATTATGAGTTGGTCTAATTTACTATTATGTCAAAATAATATTAATCTATATTTATTTATTTTCTGAGAATACATATTTTATGGGATTTGGTGCCTGACGGCGATGGATTCAAAGCATGTATTGACATATATAACAAGGCAAATAAAAATGAGCTGAAAAATTAAATGAAACTAGAACATATGCCTGCAAACATGATAAAGGGATATGATGAAGATATGGATAAAATATTACAAGACCAGGTTAACCATTGGCTGCAAAAGCACAGTCAAAATTACAGGTAAAGAGATGCAAATTTATCTTGAGGTATTATTACTTCCAACCTTTTATTAATTGATCTCCTTTTTCATTGTAGGTTAGTTAGAATTGGAACCAAAGTAAAGCTATGTAATATATACAAATTTAGATTGAGGTACAATTTAGTATTATAATATTTTTATAAAAATTATTTCTAACAAGTGTATTAATAACAAGTATTAATTAAGCAGAGGCATGGATGTTCCTGAACAAGGACAACCCTACTTTCAAGAATAAAAAATGACATTGTTAAATATAATTAAAGAAAAGTGTCTACGCATAGGAGACAAAGGGAGAGACATAAATGGACGTGGAGTAGGAGACTTCTACACAATTGGTGAGACAGAGACATGTTGTGTTAAGGTATAAAGTTATATTTTAAATTAGTTTTCTTCTATGTATTTAATATTTGTAATTTCTCAAAAAATTTAATATCTTTAAGGAATAACATATATTGTCAATAATTGTATTAAATGTAGATGTGCGTCTAGATGCACTCCACTTTTTGTTTTGTTAGTGAGTAGGTTAGAGGATCAGTTAGAATTTTAATATATTAGAATATCTATCATTTACTTTGTCTATGCTCTCTTTCATTTATTAGGAAAGAATATTGCGTGGAGGACACGTATTCTATTATTTTTGGTATGTTGAAAGGGAAGATTTTTCAAAGGTAAGCACGTCTAACTTTTATCTATTTCATGTGTTTTGGAGTGTGTTGAACTGATTGGTATCATAATTTTTTGTTACAAAGTAAGATTTCCCTTCACATCCCTCATCGCCTTTGTGTATGGTAAGGCCTGTTACAAAAATGGTGTAAATTTTTCGTATTGTATCATTTTTATGGTAATATCTCACGCATGACGCCAAGGAAGGAGAGTTATTATTGAATGATGGATTTAGAATATAATTCGTTGTTGCATGACGATGAATGATGGATTTAGAATATAATTCATTGTTGCATGACGACAAAGAAATGGAAATATGGAAATATCTTACACATGATTTCTGTGTAACCCTTTATCCTATGGTCTGAGAATTTATGTTATTTATATGTAACCTATAACAACCCTCAATATTAAATTAAGAGAAAAGAAATTAATTAGGTGTTTAATTAGATTAAACACTTATTCAATGAAATTATGTGAGATAAATTATTAGATTAAAATAATAATTAATAAGATGTTACAATTTTTTCCAGGCAAGTCGAATAGGACCCAAATATGATTATGAAATATGTTTTAGGACATGGGTATTATTATAGTGAAAGCTAAGGATTAGTTTGGTAATGTACTAAAACAAGGCCTAAACTTTAATTAGATGGTTTAATTAAATTGTGTGGCAAATATTTTGGGCATTAAGTGTCTTTAATTTAATTAGAAGATGCTTAGATTAATTTTTTAAAAATTAAGTCCAAGTAGAATTAAATATCAACCAATAGAAATGCATTTAATTATTAAAGGTCAAAAAGCTCTAAAAAAATGCAATCATCTAGTTCTTTCAAGACTATTAAGTTGTTTTGTTTTTTTTATTGTAGCATTTCACGCTACTTCTTTTATTGTGTGATTTGAGTAACCAATAAAAGTTACTAATAGTTGAACAAATAAGAAATAAGAATAAGGTTTGGAAGGTCAAAGATTTACTAAGTAAAAGAAATATCAATTGAGTTACATTTAGCTTCATAGGACGATAACCTCAATTGGGTTTCATGCACTCTTATTCATTTTATCTCTTAATGTGCAGTCTTAATGTGCAGCTAACGTTATAAAAAAAAATAAGAAAGAAAGAAAGGAGGTCCAAGTGGTTTAAATTAGCCAATAAGAATTAGTGTTGACAAGTCAAAAATCAAATTGATGGAAAATACATATACTTAGCTATTCTAGCTCCATAAGTCGACAGCCCTTTTTTTTTGTTGGTCTCCCAAGCTCATTTCTTTTCTTTTCTACTCTCCATGTGCAGCGACCTTCTATGAGAGAAAAGGGCAAGAGTGCAACTTGTTTTCTAGGCATCTTCCTACTTAGGTTTCTTCGTTGCAAGTAAAGGTTATGATCTTGTTAACATATCCCTAGGTGTAGTTCATTGAAAGAAACTCTCTATAGTAAGAAAATCCTCTCCCTGTCATGCGATGTACATGCTGTAAAAAGGGTTTCATGTGGTCTTCTACACTTTAAAGCTTGGGATTGTTGAATAGTTGAAGTGGAAGGTAGATAAGGTAAATTATCTCAATTGTAATGGTTGAAAATAAATTTATCAAGTGGGTTGCTATGGAATTAGGGCTGTTTATGATGGTTTTAATCATGAATATTTAATGAATTTTATGCATGGTTGGTGGTTGTTTGAAGATTTGATGTCAAACTAAACATAGAAAAGCTTTAAATTAACAAAGGGGAATTGTTGTGAGAACAAAGAACCAATTGCCCAAGGCATGAAAATTTATGTAAACCAAGTGTTTGTTAAAATGCCTAAGTGAAGTTATGATTTTTATTTGATTAAATAAGGATTGGTTTAATAAATATTGAGTGAAAGTTAAAAGATACCCTTGGAATTCTAGTGTAAGCAACACAACCACACACTTTATGATTAGTGAGGATTGTTATATTAATTATGAAATTTGATATAAAGGATGATAGGAACATATATGGTTGATGAACAAAGTAAGCTATAATGTGTTTAAGTGGTGCCAACCATGTGTTTGTTAGATTGTCTAAGAGAAACATTGATTTCAAGTGATTGTTGGTGATTGCTTTAATTAAATTAAGGGTGGATTTATGAAGAAAGTTTATAGAATCCTTTATAGGCCAATTCGGTCAAGTAAAATAAATTACACAAGACATGTTTTGATCTTGTTCTTATGTGAGTGTGTGACCAAAAAAAATATATATTAGAAGGTTACTTACATTGAAACAAGTTGGTATTAATGTAGTTAAGTTGATAGAATTCTCAATTTGTCTTATAGTAACTATTCGGTTATGGTAGTTTAAATAGGTACATGATGTGTTTGATTAATTTTTCATATGAATTCATGTTCAATGATTGGTTAAAGATTGATGAGAATAAGGGATAAAGAGTAGAGGTGGTGAGAAAATCCTTAAAAATCCATAAGTACCAATCGGCTATTTCATGGAAGTGAATGGAATTATGTTGTCATTAAGCTAAATGGTGTTGGAGGTTCCTTGAATATGATGTAAGTGATTGAAAGCTTGAAAGAAAATTATGGAATCATTAAATAGGCCAATCGGCCATATAGTGCAAGAGTGACGAAGAATGATTATTGATCATGTAGGTATGCTTAAAGAATGCTTGTTTTATGATATAAAAGTTGATGAATTGTGGGGAACTTACATGGGCACATTTCGGCTATACATGTATTTAGGCCATGGAGTGGTGTTAATTAATAATAGGAGTGTGTGATGTTCCTTGCAATTGTTAGTAACATGAAGCATGAATTAATTAAGATGAAATGGTAAATCCATGAGTATATGTATATGTAACTATTCGACCAGTATGTATTACATGGCTAAATAAATTGATGTTAGTTTTATGTCAAGTTAATGGAATTATAGTCTATGAATGCTTTCACAAGAGTTAAGCTAAGTAAACATGATGAAATTGTATATGTATGATTTCGGTTAGTATGAGAAGTGAATTAGAATGAGATTAGATGAATTGTAATAAATAAGGAATATGGATAGGATCTTATAAATCACTAAGTTAAGGATCGAATGTAACCTACAGAATGTTGTTTACGTGTATTACAAGTAATGTAATTAACTGTCATTAACGGTACATTATAATGGTACCAGTGAAAACCAAGGGGTGTGAATCCAAGGGATTCGAATCAAGTGAGGCGGACTATGCGTGGATAGCTAATTGCACAAACTTCTTGGATAACAAGTTGTAGAGACGAAAAGCGTTCAGGTAAGCTTTCGGTTTAGGAGTTTTCTCAGCCTTTTTGTTCTGCCATGATTAGTGGCGATTATGGTTTCCGTATGGATATAATTGTTGTTAATATTGATACTTTGCGTAGTTGCATTCATATAGTGCATGCATATGATATTATTTTTGTTATGATAAGTTAATATGATATGATCTTCAATGAAATAAAGCCTTGGAAGTGTGAGTTATGATTTCTGAACAGAGGAAGCATTTATGGATATGATCACGGTGTACATAAGGTATAGCCGAGGAAACTTTAGTTCTCTGATCATTATGAGTATGCTATTGATTACGATACGATATTACAAATATAAGATGAAAGCCTTATTTATACATAAGACATGAACATACTTAAGATTAATAAGAAGGTACGTTATAAGAATAAATGAGAATTATCAGAAAAGATATATGATACGAAAATTCTAATATGGACTATATGGTGTTATCTATGTCTTGGTACTTGATATTTTCTTGCAGGAAGTGGACTCTTGGGTGGAGACTGCTCCATAAACCCCAAGTTTATTGAGATTCATTCTCACCCCGCGTTATGGGGACATATTTCAGGTATCGCAGCAGTTGACGATCGTTCTCGGGGCAAGAGGCTCGTGGTTGAGGAGTAGATCTGAGCATGGATGTTGCCTGCTTATTTTGGGAGTCTGTTGTATTTATATATACACTGTGATGTATTATGTTTATGTAGGTTGATGTAGGATGTTGTAGTTATGACACATAGCCACCTTTTAATGTGATATATGTAGAGTTATGGATCATGCATGTACATTACTGTATATGATATGGGATTGTTGTATATTGTGGGATGTAAGAGCCCCAAGGCATTGTTGGTCCTTGTGTGTGCCACCCACTGATTATTAGGTACCATTTGAGGTCATAGACCACTTATACAAATTTGGGATTATTGGAAAAACAAAGGAAACTCTCGCGAATTTTCTGTAGAATTAGCAGATTTTAGGCGAACTTCGGGAGAGCATATCTCCCTCCATAGAGGTCCAATAGGGATGTGCCATACGCCATTTTGAAGGTTGAGATGTCCTTTACCTTGTTTCAAAATTTGAGGAAATTCTGGGTTGATCTTCGGCCTGAAAAAAATGGAGAAACACGGACTGCTCATGTGCCACTGCACCTGAGCCAGATTCTGGACCGGATTGGGAAATTAATTCTCGCTTCGTTTCTCAGTCAAATTAAGCGTGTGATATATCAAAATGAATTTTGAGATGTCTAGTTTGTAGGATAAAAATTTGAGAGCAAATGGTTGAATGGATTGAGTGCAGTAATTCGAGTAATGTGCGTGGTTTGGAGCTGTTTTTGGGGTTGTTTGGCTAATTGCTTATCCAACTTCAAACGGCGATAACCGGAGCTAATGAGCTCCGAATTGAGCATATGATAGCTTGTTGAAAAGGGAAATAAGTAAGACAAAGATATAATTTGAGAAGAGAGTTTGTTTGCGATCGGTTTGGTCGCAGAAAAATTTAGAGTGAAACATGTCCGAATTGGTAAAAACGTAAAGTTTGGAAACTGGCTAAGTGAGTTTATGGGAACTCCTTAGTAACTTATAATACGTAATGTGAGTTATAAAAATAGTTTAAATAAGTCTTCTGCAAGAGTTTACGGTTACGGTCACAGCTTTTAATTATTACGCCTTTTATGTTTTAAATGCTCGCTTAATAATCGAAAAAAGTTTATTCGCATTTTTATAAATGAACTGCTGTGATTGTAACTGCACTTAATATCATAATTAATGTTAACAATACTGGTGTACAACGGGCTGTTACATAACCCTTCATCCCATGGCTTATTTTCATTATTTCTAATAATTTTCACAAGCATAAGATTGTAATTTCACTATATAGGAGAATCTGCACTCAAGGTACACGTGAACACGCATATGTTGTTACAACAAACGAGGCATATGTTTTCCTTGTTATTAATTTAAATAATTGCAGTGAAAAATAAAATTATGGTGGTTTTGACTGTAATGTTACATTTTTTAGGAATATAACGCTATGAAGTTTCAAATATGTACGCTTCCGGGAATATATTTCATTTGATTAAATAATTGTGCATTATGAGTTGGTCTAATTTACTATTATGTCAAAATAATATTAATCTATATTTATTTATTTTCTGAGAATACATATTTTATAGGATTTGGTGCCTGACGGCGATGGATTCAAAGCATGTATTGACATATATAACAAGGCAAATAAAAATGAGCTGAAAAATTAAATGAAACTAGAAGATATGCCTGCAAACATGATAAATGGATATGATGAAGATATGGATAAAATATTACAAGACCAGGTTAACCATTGGCTGCAAAAGCACAGTCAAAATTACAGGTAAAGAGATTCAAATTTATCTTGAGGTATTATTACTTCCAACCTTTTATTAATTGATCTCCTTTTTCATTTTAGGTTAGTTAGAATTGGAACCAAAGTAAAGCTATGTAATATATACAAATTTAGATTGAGGTACAATTTAGTATTATAATATTTTTATAAAAATTATTTCTAACAAGTGTATTAATAACAAGTATTAATTAAGCAGAGGAATGGATGTTCCTGAACAAGGACAACCCTACTTTCAAGAATAAAAAATGACATTGTTAAATATAATTAAAGAAAAGAGTCTACGCGTAGGAGAAAAAGGGAGAGACATAAATGGACGTGGAGTAGGAGACTTCTACACAATTGGTGAGATAGAGACATGTTGTGTTCAGGTATAATTTTATATTTTAAATTAGTTTTCTTCTTCGTTTTTAATATTTGTAATTTCTCAAAAAAATTAATATCTTTAAGGAATAACATATATTGTCCATAATTGTATTAAATGTAGATGTGCGTCTAGATGCACTCCACTTTTTGTTTTGTTAGTGAGTAGGTTAGAGGATCAGTTATAATTTTAATATATTAGAATATCTATAATTTACTTTATCTATGCTCTCTTTCATTTATTAGGAAAGAATATTGCGTGGAGGACACATATTTTATTATTTTTGGTATGTTGAAAGGGAAGATTTTTCAAAGGTAAGCACGTCTAACTTTTATGTATTTCATGTGTTTTTGAGTGTCTTGAACTGATTGGTATCATAATTTCTTCTTACAAAGTAAGATTTCCCTTCACATCCCTCATCGCCTTTGTGTATGGTAAGGCCTGTTACAAAAATGGTGTAAATTTTACGTATTGTATCATTTTTATGGGAGTATCTCACGCATGACGCTAAGGAAGGAGAGTTATTATTGAATGATGGATTTAGAATATAATTCATTGTTGCATGACGACAAAGAAATGGAAATATCTTATGCATGACGACATGTAAAGGGAAATATCTTACACATGATTTCTGTGTAACCCTTTATCCTATGGTCTGAGAATTTATGTTATTTATATGTAACTCTTCATCCCATGGCTTATTTTCATTATTTTTAATAATTTTCAAAAGCATATGATTGTAATTTCACTATATAGGAGAATCTGAACTCAAGGTACACGTGAAGACGCATATGTTGTTACAACAAACGAGGCATATCTTGTCCTTGTTATTAATTTAAATAATTGCAGTGAAAAAAAAATTATGGTGGTTTTGACTGTAATGTTACATTTTTCAGGAATATAACGCTATGAAGTTTCAAATGTGTACGCTTCCGGGAATGTATTTCATTTGATTAAATAATTGTGCATTATGAGTTGGTCTAATTTACTATTATGTGAAAATAATATTAATCTATATTTATTTATTTTCTGAGAATACATATTTTATGGGATTTGGTGTCTGACGGCGATGGATTCAAAGCATGTATTGACATATATTACAAGGCAAATAAAAATGAGCTGAAAAATTAAATGAAACTAGAAGATATGCCTGCAAACATGATAAAGGGATATGATGAAGATATGGACAAAATATTACAAGACCAGGTTAACTATTGGCTGCAAAAGCACAGTCAAAATTACAGGTAAAGAGATGCAAATTTATCTTGAGGTATTATTACTTCCAACCTTTTATTAATTGATCTCCTTTTTCATTTTAGGTTAGTTAGAATTGGAACCAAAGTAAATCTATGTAATATATACAAATTTAGATTAAGGTAAAATTTAGTATTATAATATTTTTATAAAAATTATTTCTAACAAGTGTATTAATAACAAGTATTAATTAAGCAGAGGGATGGATGTTCCCGAACAAGGACAACCCTACTTTCAAGAATAAAAAATGACATTGTTAAATATAATTAAAGAAAAGAGCCTACGCGTAGAAGTAAAATGTAGAGACATAAATGGACGTGTAGTAGGAGATGTGTACAGAATTTGTGAGACAGAGACCTGTTGTGTTCAGGTATAATTTTATATTTTAAATTAGTTTTCTTCTTCGTATTTAATATTTGTAATTTCTCAAAAAAATTAATATCTTTAAGGAATAACATATATTGTCAATAATTGTATTAAATGTAGATGTGCGTCTAGATGCACTCAACTTTTTGTTTTGTTAGTGAGTAGGTTAGAGGATCAGTTAGAACTTTAATATATTAGAATATCTATTATTTACTTTGTCTATGCTCTCTTTCATTTATTAGGAAAGAATATTGCGTGGAGGACACATATTCTATTATTTTTGGTATGTTGAAAGGGAAGATTTTTCAAAGGTAAGCACGTCTAACTTTTATCTATTTCATGTGTTTTGGAGTGTCTTGAAGTGATTGGTATCATAATTTTTTCTTACAAAGTAAGATTTCCCTTCACATCCCTCATCGCCTTTGTGTATGGTAAGGCCTGTTACAAAAATGGTGTAAGATTTCCCTTCACATCCCTCATTATTATTGAATGATGGATTTAGAATATAATTCGTTGTTGCATGATGACAAAGAAATGGAAATATCTTATGCATGACGACATGTAAAGGGAAATATCTTACACATGATTTCTGTGTAACCCTTTATCCTATGGTCTGAGAAGTTTTATTATTTATATGTAACCCTTCATCCCATGGCTTATTTTCATTATTTCTAATAATTTTCACAAGCATAAGATTTTAATTTCACTATATAGGAGAATCTGAACACAAGGTACACGTGAAGATGCATATGTTGTTACAACAAATGAGGCATATCGTGTCCTTGTTATTAATTTAAATAATTGCAATGAAAAATAAAATAATAGTGGTTTTCATTGTAATGTTACATTTTTCAGGAATATAACGTCATGAAGTTTCAAATGTGTACGCTTCCGGGAATGTATTTCATTTGATTAAATAATTGTGCATTATGAGTTGGTCTAATTTACTATTATGTGAAAATAATATTAATCTATATTTATTTATTTTCTGAGAATACATATTTTATGGGATTTGGTGCCTGACAGCGATGTATTCAAAGCATGTATTGACATAAATAACAAGGCAAATAAAAATGAGCTGAAAAATTAAATGAAACTAGAAGATATGCCTGCAAACGTGATAAAGCGATATGATGAAGATATAGACAAAATAATGCAAGACCAGGTTAACATTTGGCTGCAAAAGCACAATCAAAATTACAGGTAAAGAGATGCAAATTTATCTTGAGGTATTATTACTTCCAACCTTTTATTAATTGATCTCCTTTTTTATTTTAGGCTAGTTAGAATTGGAACAAAAGTAAAGCTATGTCAGATATACAAATTTAGATTGAGGTACAATTTAGTATTATAATATTTTTATAAACATTATTTCTAACAAGTGTATTAATAACAAGTATTAAATAAGCAGTGGCGTGGATGCTGTCGAACAAGGACAACCCTCCTTTCAAAAATAAAAAATGACATTGTTAAATATAATTAAAGAAAAGAGCCTACGCGTAGAAGAAAAGGGAGAGAC